ACAGATCTTACACACTGGCAAGTTTCTGAAGCAGGTGGAAGACGCTGCCTCTTCCTCGGGGTGGAGCATGACCTAACATTTGAAGGGAAAGGCTCAGTAGCCAATTGATGCCAAGTGGACATACTGCAATCTCTGAAAGGTTGCTGAGGCTCCTCCATCCCTCTGACCACTAGTCCATGCTGCTCATCCATGTGGGCACGAATACTGCCAGGTCTGACCCTGGGCAGATCAGCAGTGACTATAGGGCTGTGGGTGTGCAGGTGGTGGTGGTGTCTGTCCTCCTGGTTGAGGGTAAGGTCCCAGACAGGGACATGCACATCCTGGAGCTGAATGGATGGCTGCACAGATGGTGTCAGAAGGTGGGCCTTGACTTCCTTGACCTCTGGGTGCTGTTCTGGGAAGGAGGTCTGCTGGGAAGAGACGGGTTTTACCTGACCAAGAAGTGGAAGAACATTTTCATGCACTGACTTGCCAACCTAGCAAGGAGGGCTTTAAACAAGGTTCAAAGAGGGCAGGTGACAAAAGCCCACAGGTAAGCATAAAAAAGGCAATCTTAACAGAAGACTAGATGTTGCTGTGTCGGGGAAGACATGGAAAATTAAAATAAGGTCATAGGAGCAATGAACAGTGGGGGAATCTGCTCAACATCTTAGATGTTTTTACACAAATGCAAGGAGTGTGGAGAATAAACAGGAAGAACTGGAAGTATTAGTAGATAAAATAAATTATGACAATTAGCACCACAGACTCTTGGTGGGACAAGTCTCATACTGGAATATTGGCATGGAGGGATATAGCTTGTTCATGAAAGAGAGGCAAGATAAAAAGGGAGGAGGTGTTGCATTATGTATCAACAATATACAGACTTGTTCTGAGGTCTAGAAGGAGATGAGAGGCAGACTGGTTGAAAGACTCTGGGTAAAGATAAAAAGGGGAAAATAGGGATGATGTCATGGCAAGGGTTCTACTATAGGCAAATCACAGAGCGGAGAGGGATGAGGCATTTCTAGAACAAACATGAGAAATATCCAAAACACAAGAGTTGATAGTAATTAGGGACGAACTACCCAGACATCTGTTGGAAAAGTAATATGGCAAAACACAAAATTTCCAGTAAGTTATGGGACTGTATTAGGGACAACCTCTCATTGCAGAAGGTGGAAGAAATAACCAAGGGGACGGCCATTTTACTTGATTCTGATTAACAGAGAAGTTGATTGCCAATTTGAAGGTGGAAGGCAATTTGGATGAATGTGATCATGAAATGACAGGTTTAGTTATTTTAAGGAAAGAAAGGAGTGAAAGCAGGAGAATAAGGACAACAGACTTTGAAAAACAGACTTTAACAAACTCAGAGAACTGGTAGGTCAGGGCTCATGGGGAAATCAAAGGAATAAAGGAGCTCAGGGGAGCTGGCAGTTCCTCAAAGAGACAATATTAAACACACAATTACAAGCTATCCCGATGTGAAGGAAAGGGTAGGAAGAGTATTCAGAGGCCAGTATTACTCCATCAGGAGTCTTTAATGACCTGACAATCAAAAAGGAATCCTATAAGAAGCAGAAACATGGCCAACTTGCTAAGGAGGAGTACAAAAGAAAAAGCACAAGTGTGTAGGGACAAAATCAGAATAGCCAAGGCACAAAATGAGTTACACTAGCAAGAGTATAAAAAGCAGTGAGAAGAGATTCTTCAAGTACTAAGCCGAATATTTTTGGTAAAAAAGTGACGCATCAAAGAGGGGGGTTCGGCTTATAAACGGGTCTACACCAAAATTTGATGATTTTAAACTCTATGGAATCATTGAATTGAATATCTAATACATTGTCGTTTTGTTTACCTGGAGCGTTCACTGGCACAGAGCCCCTCAGCTCAGCCGAGCCGCCGCTTCCAGCAGCTCCCATTGGCCTGGAGCAGCGAACTGCGGCCACCGGGAGCCGTGATCGGCCAAACCTGCGGACACGGCAGGTACACAAACTGGCCCGGCCCGCCAGTGGCTTTCCCTGCACAAGCAGCGGAACAAGTTTGGGAACCACTGAATTAGAGAATTGGTCTGAATTCGAGAAGATTAAATTCAATAAAGACAAGTGCAAAGTACTTTAATGATCTTGAGGATGACGTGGACTGCACCCACAGCAAGTTTGCAGATGATACTAAACTGGGAGGAGTGGTAGATACGCTGGAGGGTAGGGATCGGATACAGAGGGACCTAGACAAATTAGAGGATTGGGCCAAAAGAAATCTGATGAGGTTCAGCAAGGACAAGTGCAGAGTCCTGCACTTAGGACAGAAGAATCCTATGCACAGCTACAGACTAGGGACTGAATGGCTAGGCAGCAGTTCTGCAGAAAAGGACCTAAGGGTTACAGTGGACGAGAAGCTGGATATGAGTCGACAGTGTGCCCTTGTTGCCAAGAAGGCTAACGGCATTTTGGGCTGTATAAGTAGGGGCACTGCCAGCAGATCGAGGGACGTGATCATTCCCCTTTATTCGACATTGGTGAGGCCTCATCTGGAGTACTGTGTCCAGTTTTGGGTCCCACACTACAAGAAGGATGTGGAAAAATTGGAAAGAGTCCTACGGAGCGCAACAAAAATGATTGCGGCGCTGGAGCACATGAGTTATGAGGAGAGGCTGAGGGAACTGGGATTGTTTAGTCCGCAGAAGAGAAGAATGGGGGGGCGGGGGATTTGATAGCTGCTTTCAACTACCTGAAAGGGGGTTCCAAAGAGGATGGATCTAGACTGTTCTCAGTGGTACCAGATGACAGAACAAGGAGTAATGGTCTCAAGTTGCAGTGGGGGAGGTTTAGGTTGGATATTAGGAAAAACTTTTTCACTAGGAAGGTGGTGAAGCACTGGAATAGGTTCCCTAGGGAGGTGGTGGAATCTCCTTCCTTAGAGGTTTTTAAGTTCAGGCTTGACAAAGCCCTGGCTGGGATGATTTAGTTGGGGGTTGGTCCTGCTTTGAGCAGGGGGTTGGATTAGATGACCTCCTGAGGTCCCTTCCAACCCTGATATTCTATGATTCTATACTTCACTTAGGAAGGGGGAAAAAAAAAATCACATGCACAATTACAAAATGAGGACAACCTGGCTAGGCAGTAATACAGCTGAAAAGTACCTGGGAGTTATAGTGGATCACAAATTGAATGAGTCAACAATGTGCTACAATTGTGAAAAGGCTAATATTCTGGAGCACATTAACTTGATCAGTGTTGTATATATATAAAACACAGGAAGCAATTTTCCTGCCCTATTCAGCACTAGCAAGGCCTCAGCTGGAGGGCTCTGCCCAACTCGGCACCACACTTTAGGAAAGATGTGGACAAATTGGTGAGAGTCCAGAGGAGAGCAACAAAAACAATAAAAGGTTTAGAAAACCTGTTCTATGAGGAAAGGTTAAAAAACTGGGCATATTTAGTCTTGAGAAAAGAAGACTGAGGAGGGACCTGATAAGTCTTCAAATATGTTAAGAGCTGTTATAAAGAGGAGTGATCAACAGTTCTCCATGACAACAAAAGGTATTACAAGAAATATTGGGCTTATAACACTGGTCTACAATTTTTGAGAAGTCGTCTGCTTCAGAGATAAAATGTGCTATTTATTATGTATTTTGATGTGCTGAATTCAAATATGACAATTAAAACAACTGATTGGCTACTGTTTCTAAGATATTTAAGTTTTTACATTTTTATGCCTATGTATATTGTGTAGATAGTAGAGTTTTAA